TGTTGGTTGGTTTTATGGTATATCAACTTCAGTGGGTCATTTAATGCCAACAACATAGATTCATAGCGATAGTTTGGTAAAAAAAGGTGTGTATGTATACATATATATTTGAACCATTTTTCAATTACTCATATTTTTGAGTACAATCCAACTTCTTTTTAGGAAATGTACAATCTTGGATGGTTTTATTTTCGTAAAAAGTTTTTTTTAATACTAACTTGGTAATATTTTGTTCACCGTAGATCAAAATCTACACACTAACAGTATATATTACAAAATATTTTTACACAAGTTTAGGGTCAACTATTTGCCGATAGCTGGCACCCTAACAGGTGCTACCACACCATATATATATATATATATATATATATATATATATATATATATATATATAAGTTGTAATGCTAGAGCCTTAGTATTTGAATAACTGAATAAATATAACTTTTTTTTTCAAATAATGTTATTTTAAATACTTTGTTTTAATATTCACTTTTTAAAAAAGTATTTTTATTTTTTTTTAATTTAACTTTTTAAAATCCTCTTTTATTTGAATAAATGAATATTAACCTTTTTTTTCAAAAGTTATGGTTTTATTTCATAACATTTAAATGTATACCCATTAAAAATTTTGTTAAGTTTGCTGTGATATTTTCTTTTGCTCCTACGTGTACTATTGCTTAAAAATCTTGAGAAACTCTGGTCTTGAATGCTATCCACCCCTATTATATTACAAATATTATTAATATTATAGCTGCTACGGGTTATTTATGTATCTACATCAGTAATTCCGTAGCCTAATTACGTAAAGAACAAAAACGAAAGCATACGCAATATACTTAACACTTCATTAATCATATAGCTTGAACATTATACAATGTAAATTTCAAATCGAAATTCAGTTAGTAACAGTTTCAAGCGACAGACTTTTGTGCGCCATCGTATTTATTTTAGGGATGTGGAAATATGTTGATGTGAGTATTAAGGATTTTACATCTGGACGTTGAAATGTGAATGATCCCGTCAGCCATTATTTGGTAATTTCCGTTGAGAATCAATTGATAAGTTTGCTCAATATTCTAGGACTCCCTTCACTGTTATTAGAAAGTTCAATAATGGAGGATTTCATTTATTCTGATTTCCAGTTTCCCGAATGATCTTAGAAAAGTTTTCAGAACACTTCCACTTGTTTCAATAATTAAGGAAGATTTTTCCTTGCTACTGTTCTCTTCCTTGCCATTTTTCTGGCTTCTTCTTTATCAATTCATTCCTCCTTTTTTTTTTTTTTACTTCCCCTTTCATACTTGCCGTAATTCACATTTTTCATCGTCTTTCTCTTCATATCTTCTCATTTTTCTCCTTTCGCTTCTTAATGTCTTCTCATTTTTCTTCTTCTACACGTACTCGCATTTTTCTGCCACTTCATGTGTTCTCATTTTGTTTATTCCTCGTCATGTTTACTCATTTTTTCTTTTATTTATTAATGCCTTCTCAATTTCTCATTCTTGTTATTCTTCTTCTTGTCATTCTTCTCCTTTTTCGTTGCCTCCTTCTTCTTCTTCTCTTTCTCCTTCTCTATCGTCTTCACCTTCTTCTTCGTCTTCTCATTTCTTCCACTTCATACCTTCTCTCATTTTTCATGCCGTCTATGATTTTTATTTACTTCATGTCTTGTCTCGTTTTCCTTCAACTTGATGTTTTCTTTCCTCCTGATGTCTTCTCTAGTTTTCCTTCCTCCTGATGTCTTCTCTCGTTTTCCTTCCTCCTGATGTCTTGCCTCGTTTTCCTTCCTCTTGATGTCTTGCCTCGTTTTCCTTCATCTTGATGTTTTCCTTTCTCCTGATGTCTTCTCTCGTTTTCCTCCCTCTTGATGTTTTCCTTCCTTTTGATGCCTCATCTCGTTTTTCCTTCCTTTTGATGTCTCGTCTCGTTTCCTTCCTCTTGATGTCTCGGCTCGTTTTTCCTTCCCTTTGATGTCTCATCTCGTTTTCCTTCCTCGTGATGTTTTCCTTCCTTTTGATGTCTCATCTCGTTTTTCCTTCCTTTTGATGTCTTGTCTCGTTTTCCTTCCTTTTGATGTTTTCCTTCCTTTTGATGTCTTGTCTCGTTTTTCCTTTCTTTTGATGTTTTCCTTTCTTTTGATGTCTCGTCTCGTTTTCATTCCTTTTGATGTCTCGTCTCGTTTTCCATTCTTTTGTGTCTTGTCCCGTTTTCCTTCCTTTTGATGTTTTCCTTCCTTTTGATTTCTTGTCTCGTTTTCCTCCCTCTTGATGTTTTCCTTCCTTTTGATGTCTCGTCTCGTTTTCCTCCTTCTTGATGTTTTTCTTCCTTTTGATGTCTCGTCTCGTTTTCCTTCCTTTTGATGTCTCGTCTCGTTTTCCTTCCTTTTGATGTCTCGTCTCGTTTTCCTTCCTTTTGATGTCTCGTCTCGTTTTCCATCCTTTTGATGTCTCATCTCGTTTTCCTTCCTTTTGATGTCTCATCTCGTTTTCCATCTTTTTGATGTCTAATCTCGTTTTCCATCTTTTTGATTTCTTGTCTCGTTTTCCTTCCTCTTGATGTTTTCCTTCCTTTTGATGTCTAATCTCGTTTTTTCCATCTTTTTGATTTCTTGTCTCGTTTTCCTTCCTCTTGATGTTTTCCTTCCTTTTGATGTCTAATCTCGTTTTTCCATCTTTTTTGATTTCTTGTCTCGTTTTCCTTCCTCTTGATGTTTTCCTTTCTTTTGATGTCTAATCTCGTTTTCCATCTTTTTGATTTCTTGTCTCGTTTTCCTTCCTCTTGATGTTTTCCTTCCTTTTGATGTCTAATCTCGTTTTCCATCTTTTTGATTTCTTGTCTCGTTTTCCTTCCTCTTGATGTTTTCCTTCCTTTTGATGTCTAATCTCGTTTTCCATCTTTTGATTTCTTGTCTCGTTTTCCTTCCTCTTGATGTTTTCCTTCCTTTTGATGTCTAATCTCGTTTTCCATCTTTTTGATTTCTTGTCTCGTTTTCCTTCCTCTTGATGTTTTCCTTCCTTTTGATGTCTAATCTCGTTTTCCATCTTTTTGATTTCTTGTCTCGTTTTCCTTCCTCTTGATGTTTTTCCTTCCTTTTGATGTCTAATCTCGTTTTCCATCTTTTTTTGATTTCTTGTCTCGTTTTCCTTCCTTTTGATGTCTAATCTCGTTTTCCATCTTTTTGATTTCTTGTCTCGTTTTCCTTCCTCTTGATGTTTTCCTTCCTTTTGATGTCTAATCTCGTTTTCCATCTTTTTGATTTCTTGTCTCGTTTTCCTTCCTTTTGATGTCTAATCTCGTTTTCCATCTTTTTGATTTCTTGTCTCGTTTTCCTTCCTCTTGATGTTTTCCTTTCTTTTGATGTTTTTCTTCCTCCTGATGTCTTCTCTCGTTTTCCTCCCTCTTTGTTTTCCCTCCTTTTAATGTCTTGTCTCGTTTTCCTTCCTTTTGATTTCTTCTCTTTCTTCTTTTTCATGTCTTTTCTTTTTTATCTTGATGTCTTTTCATCTTTTTCTTTTTTTTGACATCTTGTCAACATCTTTTTCATGTCTTGTCATCATTTTTCATAATGTCTTCTCAGTATTCTTCTCCTTTTGAACTATCATTCTTTTTTTTTTCTCCTTTACTCATCATCTTGTTATTCTTCAACTAATAATTATGCATTCTGGGAAAGGAACTGACTTTATGCAGAGAAAGCAAAATCAAAACTCTGTGAAATAAATAGTTGGATTGACGAAAGAAAAAGTTTCTAAGGGGATTTCACGAGAAATGTGCGAAATATGAAAAGCAGGTCGGGTGGGAAAGCGAAAAATAAAAAAAAAATTCTTTATGAAGAACCAGAGCAAAAGAAATATAAACTAGGAGACCCGTGGGGTGCTTTTTTTTTTTTTCGCTTGTGATACCAAATCATGTTCAATAACGTTTGAATAAAAACATGGATTAGGAATAAATATTAAAATAGGTAGAAAAGTTAGAAAATGGAAAGTTACAGGCAAGCAATGAGAGAAAGACGTGAGATTTTGGATAAACTTTGTTGTCCAAACGCCGATGTTACTTGATTGCACACATGAAAATTCTGGAATATCTTTGCGGTTGCAAAATTGACAAACAAAATGTAAATAAAAGTGAATACGATCAGCTTGTTTCTAAGAATTGGTTATTTGTCTGCCGAGTATCCATTTGGCATTAAAATAAAATGTAGTTTTAATGAAATTCGTGCAATCTGTGTCCCTCGTGAAATTAAGTTTTGTAATTGTTTTCCCAAAGGCAATTAAGATTTATTGTTCGTGTTTTGTTTACCAATTTTTGGAAGCATTTTCATTTACATAAAATCTACTCTCTTCGCCCTTCTGACGTTAGAGATTTAGGAGATAAATCCATGTATTCTTGATTCGAATTTTAAGGAGTCCTATTTTGAATTGTTTTTAAACGAGTGACGGTCGAACTGCTTATCAATCCTTGGGTGAATTATTTCTCTTTGACGTTTTCTGATGATATTCCCCGACCTCCAAATTACCCATGATTTTATTCATCATCATCATAATAATAAGAAGATTAAAAATAATAATAATAATTATAAGAAGATTAATAATAATAAGATTAATAAGATTAATAATAATAATAATAATAATAATAAGATTAATAAGATTAATAATAATAATAATAATAATAATAATAAGATTAATAATAATAATAATAAGAAGAATATTAATAATAATAAGATTAATAATAATAATAATAAGAATTAGAATAATAATAAGAATAATATGAATAATATGAACAATTCTTTCATGAGAAGGTTAGTCTTGTCCTGACTCTGTAAAAGATGGTTTTGAGTTCATTTTCCTCCTCATAGACTGGTTTAACTCTTAGCTAGGGGAAGATGGATTTCATGCCTTTTTCAACGACATAAGAGCGAAGCCGTCGAAACTGAATCGTCCGTTGTCAGCAGATGACAAGCTAATGATTCTGCTATCTCTCTTCAGTACTATCTCGCTCACTGCCACATCACGTTGAAAAACCGGTTCCCGTACGATCACCGAAGTTAAGCAACGTTGAGGCTGGTCCGTACCTAGATGGGTACGTTTTCGAATACTAGGTGTTGCGAACTTGGATGTGCGGGTGGTGTAATGGATAACTGCTCGGATTTGGAAATCGCAGAGCCGAGTTCCAATTCTGGTTGGGTTCATTATATTCACTTATGTGCAAATTCCCTTGGAAAAGGTATGAATCCACCACTTCTCCCTCCAGCTATAGGTTAATTAATAAGACGTGTATTTTGATTGGTCATTGGTGCTTACGTAACAATGTTTATCCAATTAAGATGAGTTTGGTAGGTTTTGGATTTTTAAAACTCTGTGTTCTGAAATCAATACAATCACTTGACAAGACACAGTGTTGTTAATAAAATTGCTATTTTTGTAGTGATGTTATAACATGCTTATGTTATAATTTTTGAATAAATACTATCTGCTCTACTCTGAATATAGCACTGTTTAAGAATAGTGTTTTTGGTTATTGGAATTTTATTACATCTATACCATTCCTACACGTGTATATATATATATATATATATATATATATATATATATATATATAGTAATTTTCCAAGCGTAGCTTAGATGTGGCACAAGGCCGAAAGTATGGGACACCCAGTGAGGATCGAACTCACTAGTCAGTTGTAATTGTTCTTGCTAACCATTACACCGCCTCGAGTAGCCCTCCCCATATATATATATATATATATATATATATATATATATATATAATAGAGAGAGATAACCTGGGGAGGGTAATTTGGAGAGCTCGTGTTACGCTACACCAGTTCTCCGTATTCAGTTCTTTAGAAAAGTAGTTCGTTCTCCACAGGCCTTTACCTCTACAATCAAATTATATTTCAGGACTGTCTGATTTGGTTCTAATAGCTGAACTACGTCGAAAAAGGCGAGTCATTATATAATGTGTAGACCTACACAAAACTTCAGAGAATTTCTAAACGTATTCATCATTCTCGTCATCTGCCAAGTAACCCTAGCGTTTCCCGTGTCTCGACGGATATTTAACGCCACACGTGTCGCGAAATCACTCCACCGGGAAATAACACATATCCTTTCTTTCAGGACGCTATTTCCCGCCTAAAATTTTCCAGACTTTTTCGTACCACCTTGTTTATTCGTATGTGAATCATTAAGTTTGTAGCCTAATGACGATAAAAGCATTATTTTACCCAAGGATTTGCTTTTACAAATTTTCCTTTCTTGTGAAAGCACTTCATTCACTAGTGGATATCAATCACTTAGGACGAACATTATGCATGGAATATTTGGCATCAAAATTCAAAGTCTGGTTTATTATATATAATATATATTATATATTTATTCAATATATATATATATATATATATATATATATATTGAAGCAAGCGCGTGTGTGTGTGTGCATCTATAAGTATATTGTTTAAAACTTGCTATAGTTATTGAGGAAGAAGGCTCAGTATCGGCGTTATATCAATCTTATGATCACCTAAGGAAATAAAAACTTTCAATAACCCCCTCTCTCTCTCTCTGTGTGTGTTGTTGAATTGGAAACACATGCTGTTTATTTCCTGCTAGAAGAAGGTCCAACTATAAGAACAATGCGGACTCGAGTTGAGTGCAACCGAAGATGTAAAGAAAACAAGACCGATATATATATATGTTAACAAATATATTTATTAAACAACAATTTTACAAGTGACAAAGACATTAACATTTGTGTTTGTCTGTGAAAGTAAAGAGTTTGTATTTTGGTGAATGTTCGTACGTACGTGTGTGTGTGTGTGTGTGTTTCATGACGTTTTCCCCACAAGTGAGCGAAAACGCGGGTCTCTACGAGAGATCACATTTTTAAATGTGTCCGCTGAAATGCAAAGTCAAAAGAGAACGAGGCAAGAAGTCGCCCAGTATTTATAGTGTAAGGAGAGCTTGTCCTAGTGACAATTAGGAAACTAAGTAGGCGGCAACTCCGACAGTTGTGATAAAAGCAACCTGTTATGACGTCTAACGATTTTTACTCCGTGGAAAAATGTTAGCAAAGTTATACGGTTAACAGATTTCCTTAGAATCTGTCTTGAACAACTAACGGTGGTAAGAAAAGAACATATCAATATTGGAGTCTTCTAAACAGAACTGGACAGCTGTACCTTAGCAAATGATTCACTACTCATTTTGCATTAGGCAAAATTGTTTACATTCTTATCGAACCTAATTCCTCATCATCACCTGTTTCTTATTTCATTGATATTTTGATACAATTACTATCGAGGCTTTATTGTCATTCATTCACATTCTGTCTGTCTGTTTCTGTTTGCTTTTTGTATTATTAATTCACCCCCAAGCAAGGTGACAATGTCACTAAACCATAAGGTGCTTCTCAGAATGAAACAGATTGAAAAGACTTAAGAAGGTACAGGAAACCCAATCTTAAACAGGAAACAAGGGATAAAACTCTACTCCTGTTCAAATGACCGAGGGGGCGTGTTAACTGTACGATATGCAAACCTCTTTACTACTATCGAGAAAAAAATAAATAGTAAATAAATTTTCAGTTTAGGTGGAGACGTTAGAAGCATAGTTGTCTGTCTTTCTCTCTCTGTCTTTCTCTCTCTCTCTCTGTCTTTTCTCTCTCTCTCTCTCTCTCTCTCTCTCTCTCTCTGTCTCTCTCTCTCTCTCTCTCTCTCTCTCTGTGTCTCTCTCTCTCTCTGTCTCTCTCTCTCTCTGTCTCTCTCTCTCTCTCTGTCGGCTTGTCTTTCTTTGTTTTGGCTCTCATATTTGTTATTCTTTTCTATCTTCCTGTATTTCTCAATTTGTTTTAGTCTCAATTTTTTATTTTGTCCCCCCCCCTTTTTTTACTTATTTTGTTCTTTTGTTCTTCTCTTCACTTTCCCTCTTTTTTCGACCTTATTTATGTTCTATCCCACCCCCATTGTTCAATTGTGTTTTCCCCACTCTTATTCCTGTCGCTCATTACTTTTCCGGACTCTTTCTCTCTTGTAACATTTTCGTTGTTGTCTTTGTCTGCTGACGTTTTAAAGAGAAAACTCGTACCACTTATTCACAATCCATAACATTACGCTATCTCACACTCCATAAAATCTAAAACCTAAAGAAGTGTTTTCTGTAGAAAACTCAGTCATAAGTCCCCATATTGACAAATGCATACTGACTTTGCTTTCTTTATTTATTCCATCATTTAACCCATTCTAAATTTTATATTTTAGGGCATTTTTTCTGATTCGAACTATCGTTACTTTAGTATTTCTTAGCATTTTTCTTGTTTCATTTGTCATTGTCTTTTTTTTTTTTTTTTTATTAAACTTTTGCCATCTTTTAAAAATTCTATCTACTTTGTATCGGCTTTTCTCTCAAGTTATTGCTGAAGAAGCCATTTTTAAAACATTCGCTTTTTTAGATGAGCACCTGTTAGAATTTTTATCACGCATATTTCTTTTCTCATTTAATCTGTGTTTTCTAACATGGCTTTTCATTATTTTTTTCTATCTCTCTTTCGATCTAATTTCTCTCTCTCTCTCTTTCGTACATTTCACTCTCTCTCACTTTCGTACATTTCACTCTCTCTCACTTTCGTACTTTTCTCTCTCTCTCTCTCTTTCGTACTTTTCTCTCTCTCACTCTTTCGTACATTTTCTCTCTCTCTCTCTTTCGTACATTTTTTCTCTCACTCTCTCTCTTTAGTACATTTTCTCCTCTCTCTCTTTCGTACATTTTTCTCTCTCTTTCGTACATTTATTTTTCTCTCTCTCTTTCGTTTTTTTTTCTCTCTCTCTCTTTCGTACTTTTTTTTCTCTCTCTCTCTTTCGTACTTTTTTTTCTCTCTCTCTCTTTCGTACTTTTTTTTTCTCTCTCTCTTTCGTACTTTTTTCTCTCTCTCTTTCGTACTTTTCTCTCTCTCTCTTTCGTACTTTTCTCTCTCTCACTTTCGTACTTTTTCTCTCTCTTTCGTACTTTTCTCTCTCTCTCTTTCGTACTTTTCTCTCTCTCTTTCGTACTTTTCTCTCTCTCTTTCGTACTTTTCTCTCCCTCTTCCGTACTTTTCTCTCTCTCACTCTTTCGTACTTTTCTCTCTCTCTCTCTCTTTCGTACATTTTTCTCTCTCTCTCTCTTTCGTACATTTCTCTCTCTCTCTCTCTCTTTCGTACATTTCTCTCTCTCTCTCTCTCTTTCGTACATTCTCTCTCTCTCTCTTTCGTACATTCTCTCTCTCTCTGTTTCGTACATTTTCTCTCTCTCTCTCTTTCTTACGTTTTTTCTCTTTCTCTCTCTCTCTTTCGTACTTATTTTTCTCTCTCTCTCTCTCATTTTCTCTCTCTCTCTCTCTTTCTCTCTCTCTCTTTTTTTTTCTCTCTTTTTCTCTCTCTCTCTCTCTCTTTTTTTTTCTCTTTTCTCTCTCTCTCTTTCGTACTTTTTTTTTCTCTCTCTCTTTCGTACTTTTTTTTCTCTCTCTCTTTCGTACTTTTTTTTCTCTCTCTCTTTCGTACTTTTTTTCTCTCTCTTTCGTACTTTTTTTTTCTCTCTCTCTGATTATTCGTACTTTTTTTCTCTCTCTCTCTGATTATTCGTACTTTTTTTTTCTCTCTCTCTCTTTCTTTACATTTTTTTCTCTCTCTCTTTCGTACATTTTTCTCTCTCTCTCTTTCGTACATTTTTTCTCTCTCTCTTTCTTTACTTTTTTTCTCTCTCTCTTTCGTTCTTTTCTCTCTCTCTCTCTCTTTCGTACTTTTTCTCTCTCTCTCTCTCTCTCTTTCGTACTTTTTCTCTCTCTCTCTCTCTCTCTTTCTTTCGTCTTTTCTCTCTCTCTCTCTCTCTCTCTCTCTGACTATTCGTACATTTCTCTCTCTCTCTCTCTCTCTTTCGTACATTTCTCTCTCTCTCTCTGACTATTCGTACATTTCTCTCTCTCTCTCTCTTTAGTACATTTTTCTCACTCTCTCTCTTTCGTACATTTTTCTCTCTCTTTCGTACATTTCTCTCTCTCTCTTTCGTACTTTTTTTTCTCTCTCTCTCTCTTTCGTACTTTTTTTTCTCTCTTTCGTACTTTTTTTTCTCTCTCTCTCTTTCGTACTTTTTTCTCTCTCTCTCTTTCGTACTTTTTTCTCTCTCTCTTTCTTTACTTTTTTTCTCTCTCTCTTTCATTACTTTTTTCTCTCTCTCTTTCGTCTTTTTTTTCTCTCTCTCTTTCGTACTTTTTCTCTCTCTCTTTCGTACTTTTTTCTCTCTCTCTTTCGTACTTTTCTCTCCCTCTTTCTACTTTTCTCTCCCTCTTCCGTACTTTTCTCTCTCTCTCTCTCTCTTTTACTTTTCTCTCTCTCTCTTTCTCTTTTTTCTCTCTCTCTCTCTCAGGGTTTTTTCATTCTCTCTCTCTCTCTTTTTCTTTTTCTCTCTCTCTCTCTCTCTGACTATTCGTACATTTCTCTCTCTCTCTCTCTCTTTCTCTTTTCTCTCTCTCTTTTCTTTTCTCTCTCTCTCTCTTTCTCTCTCTCTCTCTCTCTCTCTTACTTTTTTTCTCTCTCTCTTTCGTACTTTTTTCTCTCTCTCTCTCTTTCGTACTTTTTTTCTCTCTCTCTCTTCTGTACTTTTTCTCTCTCTCTTTCGTACTATTTTTTTCTCTCTCTTTCGTACTTTTTTCTCTCTCTCTTTCGTACTTTTTTTTCTCTCTCTCTTTCGTACTTTTTTTTCTCTCTCTCTCTTTCGTACTTTTTTTTCTCTCTCTCTCTCTTTCGTACTTTTTTTTCTCTCTCTCTCTCACTCTCTCTCTCTCTCTCTCTTTCGTACTTTTTTTTTCTCTCTCTCTTTCGTAATTTTTTCTCTCTCTCTTTCGTACTTTTTTTTCTCTCTCTCTTTCGTACTATTTTTTTCTCTCTCTTTCGTACTATTTTTTTCTCTCTCTTTCGTACTATTTTTTTCTCTCTCTCTTTCGTACTATTTTTTTCTCTCTCTCTTTCGTACTTTTTTTTCTCTCTCTCTTTCGTACTTTTTTTCTCTCTCTCTTTCGTACTTTTTTCTCTCTCTCTTTACTTTTTTCTCTCTCTTTCGTACTTTTTTTCTCTCTCTTTCGTACTTTTTCTCTCTCTCTTTCTACTTTTTTCTCTCTCTCTCTCTCTTTTTACTTTTTTCTCTCTCTCTCTTTCTTTCTTTTTTTCTCTCTCTCTCTCTCTCTCTTTCGTCCTTTTTTTCTCTCTCTCTCTCTCTTTTTTTCTCTCTCTCTTTCTCTTTTCTCTCTTTTCTCTTTTCTCTTACATTTTCTTTCTCTCTCTCTCTCTCGTTTTTTTTTCTCTCTCTCTCTTTCCTCTCTTTTCTCTCTCTCTCTCTCTCTCTCTCTCTTTCTTTACTTTTTCTCTCTCTCTCTCTCTTTTCTTTTCTCTCTCTCTCTCTTTTTCTTTTTTCTCTCTCTCTCGTACTTTTTTCTCTCTCTCTTTCGTACTTTTTCTCTCTCTCTCTCTCTCCCTTTCGTACCTTTTTCTCTCTCTCTTTCGTACTTTTTTCTCTTTCTCTCTCGTTCTCTTTCTTACTTTTTTCTTTCTCGTTCTCTTTCGTACTTTTTTCTCTCTCTCGTTCTCTTTCGTACTTTTTCCTTCTCTTCTCTTTCTTTCTCTTTTTTCTCTCTCTTCTCTTTCGTACTTTTTCTCTCTCTTTTTCTCTTTCGTACTTTTTTCTCTCTCTCTCTTCTCTTTTTTTTTCTCTCTCTCTCGTTCTCTTTCGTTCTTTTTTTCTCTCTTTCGTTTTTTCTCTCTCTCTTTCTCTTTTTTTTTTTTTTCTCTTTCTCTTTCGTACTTTTTTTCTCTCTCTCTCTTTCTCTTTCTTTTTTCTCTCTCTCTTTCTCTTTCGTACTTTTTTTCTCTCTTTCTCTTTCGTACTTTTTTTCTCTCTCTCTTTCTCTTTCGTACTTTTTTTTCTCTCTCTTTCGTACTTTTTTTCTCTCTCTTTCGTACTTTTTTCTCTCACTTTCGTACTTTTTTTCTCTCTCTCTTTCTCTTTCGTACTTTTCTCTTTCTCTTTCGTACTTTTCTCTCTCTCTTTCGTACTTCTCTCTCTCTCTCTTTCGTACTTCTCTCTCTCTCTTTCGTACTTTTCTCTCTCTCTTTCGTACTTTTCTCTCTCTCTTTCGTACTTTTCTCTTTCGTACTTTTCTCTCTCTCTTTCGTACTTTTCTCTCTCTCTTTCGTACTTTTCTCTCTCTCTTTCGTACTTTTCTCTTTCGTACTTTTCTCTCTCTCTTTCTCTTTCGTACTTTTTTCTCTCTCTCTCTCGTACTTTTTTTTTCTCTCTCTCTCTCTCGTACTTTTTTTCTCTCTCTCTCTCTCTCTCTCTTTCGTACTATTTTTTTTCTCTCTCTCTCTCTTCGTACTATTTTTTCTCTCTCTCTCTCTTTCGTACTATTTTTTCTCTCTCTCTTTCATTACTATTTTTCTCTCTCTCTCTCTTTCGTACTATTTTTTCTCTCTCTCTCTCTCTTTCGTACTTTTTTCTCTCTCTCTCTTTCGTACTCATTTTTTTTTCTCTCTCTCTCTTTCGTACTTTTTTCTCTCTCTCTTTTTGCTTTTTTCTCTCTCTCTCTCTTTACTTTTTTTCTCTCTCTCTCTTTCGTACTTTTTTTTCTCTCTCTCTCTTTCGTACTTTTTTTTCTCTCTCACTCTTTCGTACTTTTTTTTCTCTCCCACTCTTTCGTACTTTTTTTTCTCTCTCTCTTTCGTATTTTTTTCTCTCTCTCTCTGTCGTATTTTTTTCTCTCTCTCTTTCGTATTCTCTCTCTCTCTCGTACATTTTCTCTCTCTCTCTTTCGTACTTTTTTCTCTCTCTCTCTTTCGTACTTTTTTCTCTCTCTCTCTTTCGTACTTTTTTCTCTCTCTCTCTTTCGTACTTCTCTTTCGTACTTCTCTCTCTCTCTCTCTCTCTCTTTCGTACTTTCTCTCTCCCTTTCTTACTTTTTTTCTCTCTCTCCCTCGCGTTCTTTCTCTCCCTCTCTCGTTCTTTTTCTTTTTCTCGCTTTCTCATCCTTTTTTCTCGCTTTCTCATCCTTTTTTTCTCTCTCTCTCATTTTCATCCTTTTTTTCTCTCTCTCTCTCGTTTTTTTCTCTCTCTTTTTTTCTCTCTCTTTCTTTCCCTCTTCTTTATTATCGCTTGCCTGCTCCATTTTTTTCTGTTTCTTTCCCCTTCTCATTTCTTTTTCTTATTTATGATTCTATCTCATTCTTTCTTCCTAACACTTGCTATGGCTTTTTTTTCTCTTTTTTTTTAATTTATTTTTTTTATTTTTTATCTCCCATTATTTCTACGGTGTTTCCCTCTAACTACGTTCAACTTTCTTGCTTTATAGAAGAAAGAAAAAAAAATAATGAACATTTTTTTTTTTTTTTTTTGTCCACAATTTGTTGTTTGACACTTCCATTAGGAACGCCTTTCTCACACGTCCTCGGGAATCATTCTTAAGGCACCGAACCGCTACATACGAAGCAGAATGGATCTTTTACAAAAGTCCAAACGGGCGCCATGATTATAAGAAAGGGTCGGTAAAGAGAGAAAAAAAACGTGAGATGGCTGGCTTTGATAAAAAGATCAAAACACACAGAAAAAAGAAAATTGATAGACAGACAAAAAGAATAGGGGTGGTAAATAGATAAGTAAATAAATAAATAAAAAATAAAATAGATATACCAGTTGACAATAAGGGGTCAAAAGCAACACATTCAGACATAGATGTATAGATCCATATATTTAAATTATTTATGTATCTACTTTGATGTGATTAATGTGGGTATAACTTAGTCTGGAACAAGGCCCGAAAACTGAGGAGAGAGCTAATGGCAATCGAACTTAGAATCAATAACCTGTAAGATTAGCTTGTGAACTATGACTCATCAGTAAGCGCCCAATATTATGGAATATTAGTATTTGAGCATTTTATATTATATTCTTACTCTGTCCTAGACATTGAGTTCTACCTGGATTCTATCCTCTTTGGAATATATATATATATATATATATATATATATATAATATTATATATATATCTCCCTCCCTCCCTATATATATATATATATATATATATATATATATATATATATATATATATATATATATACAGATGTCTTAATATGTTAAAGCTGACTCACTCACACACACACACACACACACATATATATATATATATATATATATATATATATATATATATATATATATATATATATATATATATACTGACCACTAATATTATCAATATCTCTCTCTCTCCCCCCTATATATATATATATATATACAGATGTCTTAATATGCTAAAGCTGACTCTCACACACACACACACACACACACATATATATATATATATATATATATATATATATATATATATATATATATCGCCGCCCAACTTAAGATTTAAAATGAATTTTAAAAAAAATGAAAAAATCGTTGTTGAAGATTTTATTTTAGTTTTAATTTCAAGCTAATAGTTTGCTCAATTTAGAAACGAATTTAAATTGATTGGAATTATTTTTTTTTTAATTACTGATAAAAAAAAATCGTTAGTAAATATACATCTCTGAAACTTTGTTTGAAGAAGATTAACTGATTTAAAGTTTAATTAATCTGCTTTGAACAAACATTACTTACTTATAGTTTAAAACACCGCAGAAATGCATTTTTAACAGACATATGTGTTTTTTATGATGTGTAATCGGCTGGGAATTTAACTATTTTATTTTATAGGGGACATATCTTTAAAAATTACTTGACGAATATAACGTAATTGTCATTTTGCTTTCCGATAATGTCATGTATGGACGTTGCCCGTATTTACAAAAATTGGCACGTTTATATACAAAAACAAAATTCAAAATTCTTTTTAAATACTAGCGTCATTGAATTGTAAGCTTTTCCATTTATGATTAGTAAATATAGTTTTTACTTAATAACAATATCGCCTGACCGGTATAAATTAATACAGAATTTTAAAAGATTTAAAACTTTATAAATTATTCTAATTGAAATTTTTAAAAAAAATTAAACAATTGTAAAACTTCATTATTCATCGAAAAAATAAATAAATAAATGAATTGGAGGGAGGTAAGAGATATAAAAAATGTTTTCACCAAGACTTTCTATAAAAGAAACATTTAAAACATAATTTACTTCATTTGTGAATAAGCCCTGAAAGTGTCATTAAAAATAGAAAAATATTTCATTCTTATAAGAATTTTCAAATCAATGTGTTTTTTCCATCGCAATATATATATATATATATATATATATATATATAGAGAGAGAGAGAGAGATGTGTGTGTATGTGTCAGGAACGTGACGTAATTACTCAGGGCAAGATGTTTGTTGACCATTTTATAAAATAAATTAACAAAAAACATTTTATTTATCACGATTCCGTCATTGCTCTATCATTTCCACTGTGTGTAAATACACACTGCCCAACCTAGGGATTGAACTCACAACTCAAAAATTAGACCTTGGAGATATCCCTAGACATGAGCGGTGGAACGAAAACAGTCTACCCCTGTATATTAAATAGAAGATTAAGTTTGAAATTCCCTGTATGTTACCCAGATCAATACACCTGAGGAAGGCCGGATGCGCAAAGGTCGAAACGTTGTGATAAAAAACAACAAAGTTGAGAAAAACGGTCCGAATAAAAAGAGCATAAATAATGTTATATAAATATCTGATATATAAATAGTGTTAATAATGCTATAATCAGACAAAAAAAGAAGTTAGCTATGACAAGAGAAATAGACGTGAACACTCCTCAAGTTACGGTAAATGCGATTCGTTATCAAATGTGGCTTGGAGCAGCGGGACACGAGGAAGACATCGTTATGTTGTTGCATTAATTTTGGTAAACGTATGAATCCATTTCTTTTCCTCGTTCCCTATCATGGGTTCTCTAGCCTTGGTTGGCAACTAGTCTAGGCGAAGGACAACTTCGAATTCAAGATAGATTGTGGAAAAAGGTTTCTTGTGTCGTCCTTTAGGACTTCATCGGTCTAAATTTCGAAAACTTTTTTATATATATATATATATTATACATATTATATATATATATATATATATATATATATAACGTTATAAATATAACAGACAACGAATGTCTATAATGTTTGATCATGAGCCGTTCTAAGCTTCGTATAGTAGCTTTAGTTTCAGGAGAAAATAAAGACAAAAACTGTCCAACATTTGGTTATTTTTTTATTATACTGTTCACATGAGCTATCATCAGAGTGGTTATAGGGACATTACTACAGAGATGTTCACCGTCAAAGATGACATCCTGTTATGTTCATATAGAAGTCTCACCCGAAACTAAAGCCATTATACGAAGCTTAGAACGACTCAAGATCAAACATAAGACATTCATTGTCTGTTATATTTAACAATATATGATTGGATAATGATCTGCTGCCCCAATGCAATATATATATATATATATATATATATATATATATATATATATATATATATATTATAAATTAATTGATTTAAAATATGGTTTTTTCCGCTACACAGTTCTAACCATGTTTAAAAAATATTATGCTCTGTAAATTTACATTGAGTACTATTTTGTAAAAATAAAAATATCTATGAGAACACCGGATTATATATCTTACTGTTCTTTCTTTTTATTTATATATATATATATATATATATATATATATATATATATATATATATATATGTATGTTAGGAAAATTATTCTTTATCAACTCATGCGTTTGTAAGAATTAGTTTTCCTTTTGTTTTTTTGAAGATACATTTTTATTTTCATTTGAATTCTCTTTTACACGATAAAAATCTAGTTCTAAGGTTTGCTATATTTATGAGTTAAAGTGCTCAGTATCAGGGATAGAGCGCATGTTAACATAAAAGTGGACACTGATGTCAACACCCAACGGCAGACTGTTTCATGCTTAAGCGCAATCTTCAGACCATGTGTGTTGTGTTTTGGCACGACTATTTATATATGCTGGCCAATGGAGCATCATGGATAGGTCTATTATCCTAACGGTTACTGGGTGTGCTCTTTAACGGAATTATATATATAATGAGTGTGACTCCATGGTGACTGCTAATTTCACGCCTTCAAATGATAAATCCTTTGCCTAAAGGAGAACATTGCGATAATTACATTGACAGAACAAGATTAACTCCTCAACTGAATTAGGCCGACTGTATATTAATTGTAAATCATGGCACTTGCAATGCATAAAAAATGAATATAATTTGGTCAGACGAATGAGAATTGAAAGTGCTATGGTGTGCGAATCCCTTACAAATCCTTGCTCTACTTAGCGTATTGAGCAGTCTACATTTTAGTTTTATTACTCGCTTGGTTTTTGTTTTCTTAGGACTAAAAACTTAGTCACTGGGTGATTTATTTCGCCCTGTTCGGATGCTTCTAGTTTTTTTTTTTTTTTTTTTCCTCGGGTACCAATTTGTTTTGATATATTTACAAGTTGTGCTATCCGAGGTTTTTTCCCGAGAGTATTATATATATATATATATATATATATATATATATATATATATATATATATAATGAGGTTGGGTGGAAATGCATTGGAGAATAAACCTGCCCAAGGTGAAAGTATACCTTATATATTTGCTCTGATTTGATTTCTAATACATTGACCTGATTCTGCGAGGATATTACGCTGGTTGCTGGTCCCGCCCTATTTAAAATAATTATAAAGAAAAGAGAGCCCACCCCGACTCACACACAACGAAGAATATGACGATTTAAACTAAAGTTGCTCTTTTCCCTTCTGCCATCAACATGAACAATCCGTAAACTGTTTCCTCCCAATCCCAACTCAAAATCTGATCAACTGTTAAACCCGTTTACTGATAAACCGGCCATGTCGAATGCAAGAGGGTAGATGTATAGACAAAAATAATTTTCCTAGCATTATAGCCGAGTCACTACATGTTTACCTATTCAGTTAGAAAGATCTTAGAGTTGGTACATCCAAAGAAAAGCGATATCTAAATTTTAAAAAGAATTTGAAAAAATGAAAAAATCTTTCTTGAAGCTTTTCATTCTAGTTTTAATTTCCGTCCTGGGTATGACGATAAACTACATCCGCGTCCTGGGTAAAACAAAAAACTACATCCAAAAGCAAGGCCTCTGATCAGGAGGTTTTGAAGAGCGTGGAACCATCTTTTAATTGCTGGTGTTCCCAGGTCCACCCTGACCCGGGGTGGTAGCATCTGTTAGGGTCCTAGCTATGGGCAAATAGTTGACCCCCAAACTGGGGTCAAAACACTATGAAAATATAAAAATAGGTTTTAATACCAGAAATACTTTGTAAAAAAATTATTACCAGCAATACATTTTTGAAAACAAAAGATATTACCAGCTATACTTTTTTGAAAAAAAATCACAAGTGATACTTTTTTGGAGAAAAAAATATTACCAGAAATAGATTTTTAAAGGAAAAAAAAAATTACCAGCAATGAATTTGATATTAAAAAATTACCAGCAATAAAAAAAATTTTCGGCATTAAATAACCCATTGAGGTTGATATGCCGTAAAACAAAATAAACCATACCAAACTAGTTTAAATTTCAAGCTCATAGATTAAATTGAATATTTCAATAAGCAAAATATTTTTTAAAAAATCGTTCATATGAACAAATCTGTTAATACAGCGTAATACTTTTTTTTATATATATATATATATATATATATATATATATATATATATATATATATATATATATATAAGGTGCGATGGATAGATTCGCGCCGTTTTATACTTTTAATTTCACGCACGTGTCTTGTTTTATTTTGTCGACTGCACAGTATAATAGGGTCAGTTGTGCACCATCTGTGAAAAAAGAGCACCCTGACGCAATTCACTCCGCCAGAAATTTGGAAACGGCATGCTTTACTGCTTGGCATTCGTGCCGGAAGCTCCAATATTAACATTTCAGAGTGTTTGGGTGTCAACATCATAGTGTTTGAAATGATCACTAGTGATGGCGGCGACGTTATACATCCATTTATCTTCCCACAAGTCCTCAGTCTCAACACGGAGGCCTAAATCAAATGCCTTGAGGAGGTAGTGCTTTCCTGGGTCAAGAGAGTGGCTGCTGGATGATTCTGTGTGACATGGTAAAGAGTTCTGTTGCCAGATAAACAGGAGAGTTCAGTTATGGCTGTCAGATAATTTCTTCGACCCCGTCACCCCTTACATCTGGACACATAATTCCCCAGACAACTACCTTGATTATTGCATTTGGGGCGCAGTTGAGTGAGAGACCAACAAAACATTGTAACACCAAAGATGAACTGAAAGCAAGGATTATGGCAATATTTACATACTTAAAAGAGACCATCCAGAAGAGTTGCAGGAGATTCCGAAGTCGTCTGGAGGCTGTGGTTGAAGCCAATGGCAATTTTATTGAATAAATTTACTCTTTAGTATTTCAAGATATTTTTGTGTAATTTTGATAAATATATCTATTAAAATGAGATGTCAGTATTGTTTTCATTTTTGCATAATTTAGACAGCAATTTACCCATTGAATATATACACTCTTTTAAGGATGGATCAACATGTTTCCCATTGGATTAATATCTTGAAGCCATTCTATTAATTTAGTGACTTTGAAACCTTTTTTTCACAGTGGGGAATAGTTAGATGTTTATAATGTGAAGGGGCATTGTCTAGCACGAATATAGTGTTTGTAGCTTAAAGGTAAGGGTTGGGACCTTTTAACACCCAAAATAAATGAAATAAAATACAATAATTCTGTTCATTTATTTTGATACTCTGTATTAAATAGAATTTTTATCTTCCTACCGGATTTATTCAACCTGATTCTAATAATATGGACGGGCCTGTATGTAACGAAAAAGTTTTAAGGATACTTAGAGACAATGGACATGTCTAGGACACATAATGAGGAAAGAGGGATTGGGAAATTCAACACTCATAAGACATTGAAAGATAACGGTAAACGGCGAATAACCTACTTAAAGAGCCTCCAAATGGATGACAGAACAGACAGTGCAATAATAATAATAATAATAATAATAATCATAAATTTGCTAAGAGCTACAAATGATGGTAACATGTTGAGAGTTCATGATCGTCTATATAAGCGGAGGGCGGGAAATATGGCACATAGAAGAATCTTTTTCGGAAAGCTTATTATCTTTCAAATTTTTCCACGGCACGATTATTTCGCTCTATGTGATTAAAGTTATATAAAAACGCCAATCGAAACGTTTATTTGAATCGGCACGTTTATTTTGTAAATTGAAAAATTAACTATTACTGACAGCACTTGTATTTTTGCGATAGAACTGTATCAACTTTGAAAACTTTTATTGCCTGTAATAATAACGCAAATCTTTCCTTCACCGGACCCCTCGTATCTCAGTTACGTTAGTCGATTGTTTCCAACGTCTAAGTATTCATCAGGTCCATCCAATGTAGCTTTACATTCATCATTATAAACTACTGTTGAGAAATCAGTTTCCATTTTCTTTAGTTAGTAGTTCCTTTTATGTTTTTAATCTTCTGCATCATCTTTTCTTTCATCCGCAACACGACTTTAAACATCATGTTACTCAGTCCACTTTTCTTGCTTATTACCATTTTAATTTTTCTCAAAACAGTGTTTTCTCTTAAAGTGAATATTTTCTTGTTCTTATCTGGTTAATGTTTCCATTTTTATTAGATTGTCCTTTGATCTCTGTTCAACTTTTTCACAATTTATGAGCCATGAAAATCTTTATATGTCTGAAATTATATAGATATTTACGTTACCATGAAAACATTCGAGTTGGATATTAACATTTAACTCAACCGAATATATTATTGTAAGCATTTTTAGTACAAAAAATAAATTAATTTACGGTAAATTTATTAAGTATTACGTAAACTGACCCTGCGTGATCCTGAAAAATTTACGAACATTTATTGGTTAATATCAACAGAATTCATATGCAAAAATAAATAAACAAATAAATAAAACATAAAATAAATAAACAGCACAATAGTCTGACATGAGGTATTAAAAGAATAATGATCTAGATATAAAATGACTTTTTTCCGACATTATTTCTTATTACTATAAATGTTATTGGCCGGTTGTTATTAATTTTACTATTTAAGAAAATAGAAAAGGTATGGCAACTAAAACACGTGTACACATTCTATCTATCTATCTATCTATCTATCTATCTATCTATATATATATATATATATATATATATATATATATATACATATATACGTCAGTCAGATGTTGATGCCTCCTGACGAGTGGACTGAACACTTATAAAAATGTTTATGTATGAAACTCTGGAGCCAAGTTGCTCAAAATAATATGAATCAAGTAACAAATTTTATTTGTATTAATCATATATATGTGTGTGTGTGTGTGTCTTTCGTTAAAGATGACTGGCAATGTACTGCAAAGATTTTTATTTAATTTTTCATGTCTTCGCACAAGTGTTTTCTTTTTTGGGCGTAACTTGTGTGAAAACTGGGCAAAAATTGTGCATTTCTGAGCGTTTTCGGATATAATTTTAGCCATTATCAAGGGTGATTTTACTTTTAACTGAATGTATGCATTGTGTTACGTATGTATCTAGAGAGTTATATGGATGTTTTATTTTCCAAACACGGTCAGTACATTGTGGTCGTGTTCATAGCTAATGTTATTGAGAGTTGGCTTTTCCTTTTTTTATTTTATTTATTAGGGCTTTCAATATGTTTTTTTAAGTGAATGAGGTTAATATTCCTTGTATTTTCTATTTGTATGTTCTGGATGGAGTCAGGTAGGTTTTTGTGTGTTTACTAATGAGTTCTAATGGAGTTGTGAACAGTTTTTACACACTTTGTGTCCAGAAAAAAAAACACTTGTACGAATACAAGAAAAATTAAATAAAATGCTTAATGACAGTAGTTGTCAATCCTCTTTAACGAAACATTCTATCTATCTATCTATCTATCTATCTATCTATCTATCTATCTATCATGTTTTCCCTTTGTCTTTATTCACATACATACATGCATACATACATTGTGACGAGCTACTATGATTTGAGAAAGGAAGACTAATCCATTAGTTATCTCATAGTTAAGATTAAGAACATTGATTTTTCGCTTTTTTTTAATTTCTTCCCTTCATTTTATCTACTTCTTGTATGCGTGTGGGTTGACGGTGACAGTGAATCGATGTACTTCCCTATACCTTTCGCAGGCCAGCGGTAGCAGAGGGCTGAGAATGGTTTCTGATATCAAACATGTCAACCCCGTAGCAAGTCACATGACCACGGGTGGACACGGAGGCGCCAAAATCAAAAATTTTGAACCAGACAGCCGAACGGATAGGGTGGTAAACTTCTGCAATTGTCTGCCCAGAGGTCAGAAAAGGTTGTAATTGAATGAATAATATGTACCAAGATGAGATCGCTTGAAAATGGGCATAGCAAGATAATAACGGCCTTAAACTTGACGAAAACAAAATTTTATCGTCAAAATGTTTGTTTTTAAGAGGAAAGAACAAAGTAATTTTTTTTTCAAAATTTTTCTGTCTTTATTATGAAATCACGCACGTCACTTAGCCGGTCTTAACAGCGGTGTTGATTGCTTTCTCTCATTTTAAAGTACATTTTTTCAGCGCAGAAAGTAATGTTTGTTTCAAAATATATTTAAATAAACTTTATAATTTTTTAATTTTCTTAAATTATTTTTTTAAAATATCATAATTGATTTTTTTTTTAAAGAATTTTAAACGGACACTTTCACTTTTGTAAACAAAAGTTTAAAAAATGGCTGACGATCGATTTTCTGTCAATTTTGCTGATCAAAAAATATAAGATTTTTCACGAAAATTTTGGACGTGCAAGAAATTATTAAAAAATGTAAAAAAATAATCAGAAAATACTTTATTCTTTCCTCTTGATAATAACATAAACATTTAAACGATAAAAAAATTATTTTCATCAAGTTTAAGTCCGTTATTATCCTGGTATGCTCATTTTCCAGCCATCTCACGCCAGTACCTAATGAATAATGGATTTAACCAGTTTTCTATTAGAAAGAAATTCCGGAGAACTTCCTCTATAAATTACGGATATGTTCTCAGCTATGAAATGATCTCTAAATATTAAATTCGATGACTATGGAAGCATTTTGCTTAACAATAAATATCTGAAACCCAGCAGGAAGAATATGGGCAATTATCCAGGAATTCAAACATTCTATTTTTATGCGAATACAAGGAAATATCTGATGTTGTAGAGGACCGGGTGGTTGCATGTTGTTGAATTGGGAACACGTGCCTGTGTATTCCTGCTAGAAGAAGGTCCAACTACAAGAACATGGCGGTCTCAAGTTGAATCCAACCGAAGTTGTAAAGAAAATAAACAAGACCGATATATATATATATATAAAGTATTACGCCCCGAGCAAGGCGGGAAGCCATTAGGATGCAGGGGGTTACAGAAGATTTGGAGCGAGAGCAGATAGGAATGATAGAAGAAAGGATGAGGAGAAGGATAGTGGGTAGATCAAGGTAACTGGAGATGTCGATTGACATTACATTTGAATAGTTGGAGATTATAGCTCTCAAGGAAACAGTAATAGGGAAGGGTGTTCCACAGGCGAGAGGTGCGAGGTATGAAGCTATTGGAGTAGAAGAGACGGCTACATTTAAAAGCTTCTACAGTGAAAGGGTGAGAGCGGGATGTCAGCCTCGTAGGGCGCTTGAATTCATGAAGTCAGGGAACCAGTGAAAGCAGCTTATCGGAGCAATTACTATGAAAGTATTTGTAAAAAAGACATAGGCCAACTTTCCTCGCGGTGAACGAAGCAATTGACTCAATGTATTTGTTCAATCTCAGGTCAGCAGTCAACGTAAGACCGAGCAGACGCAGAGAGTTGCTCTCAAGAAGTTGACTATCAGACATTCTAATGGGGGGCAGGGAAGGATCTCTATGGTGATTAATAGAGAGTAGTTTAGTTTTTGAGGCGTTAAAGTTCACCAGCCAATTCTTGCCCCAATTAACAACCGATTGGAGATCCATTTCAAGACGAGCGGCCAGGTTAGTTTTGTCAGCGACACTAGATTTGTATTTGAGGCAGGAGTAAATTGTAGTGTCGTCCGTGTAGATGCCAACTTGGGAATCTATGGCGTCAGGAAGGTCGTTGATGAAAATAAGGAATCGAGTGGGGCCAAGAATGGAGCCTTGGGGAACACCAGCGTTCGTGGGATAGGAACTGGAGGAGAACCCGTTAAGAACGACCTTCAATTTACGGTTTGACAGGAATGATTGTTTTAGGTCAAACAATCGACCTGTAATACCATAACTCTGGAGCTTGCGAAGAAAGCCGGCATGCCAAACCCTATCAAACGCTTTGGAGATGTCCAGGGCCACGGCACGAGCCTCACCGTTATTTTGAAGGACTTGGTAGACGGTTTCAGCTGTAGATCGGGCGTAGCGGAAACCATATTGCTTGTCTGAGAGAAGGTCATGTGAGGTAAGGTGGTTAACCACTTCGGCGTTGATTAGGGCTTCGAAGACTTTACCGAAGAGGGGTAGGAGATTAATAGGACGGTAATTAGAGGGGTCAGAGGGATCTCCAGACAGGAACAACGGATGAGGACTTCCAGCAGTCAGGAAAACAGGATTCCTTGAGGCAGAAGTTATATAGTTTAGAGAGGGCGGGCGGTAGCTCAGGTGCGCATTTCTTCAAGACAATGGCTGGTATACCATCTCCACCACTAGCCTTGTGGGGGTCTAAATTGGAGATAACCCCGTCATTGATATTGGGCATTATGTATAACCCGCTCAATAGGGCCTCAGTTCTTAGAGGGAAGTCTGGTATGGGTACACCAAAGGAGTCGAGCGTTGAATTAAATGAGAATTTCCGAGCAAAGCATTCAGCCTTGTCGGTAGAGGAGGTAAGAACCTCGAACTGGTTGAACAAAGGAGATATGGAGGGTTTTCCATTGTTCAGAACGCTCTTGCAGAGCCGCCAATAATCTTTGGAGCCAAATTTACGAGATGCAATACGCTCCTTCATCCGAGCAGCAAATATTGACTTAGCTTAGTTGAGGACACGCTTACACTCGTTACTGGCGGAGGCAAAGAGACGTCTATTGCAGTCCAAGTCGCTACGAAATCGGTGAAAGAAGTGGTTCCTATGGGCAATGACGGCTGAGCAAGCAGCGGAGAACCAAGAGGAGGAGTGCGACTTGACCTTAAATTTCCTTGAGGGGATGAAAGCGTCGATTCCAGCTTTAAACCCGGATGAGACCTCAGAAGCACATTCTTGGACAGGGAGTGTAAAGACAACATCCCAGGGGACATCGCGGAACGAGTCCTAATCCGCTCGTTGATAGTAGAACGAGGTTCTAGTGATAGGAGGTTCTTTGCGGGGGTGGGGAGTTGAAGGAAATGTTAACAGATACTACAGCATGATCGGAGTTACCAAGAGGGCAGAGCTGCGTGGCGCTACAAGATTCGGGGATGGAGGTAAAACATAGATCGAGAAGAGAGGCCTTACCTTCCAGGTTGAGGGCAAAACGCGTGGGGAAGTTAACTATCTGCGTGAGGGATTGAGAAATTGAGAAATTAAGTGTTTGAATGCCTGCCCGGTCAGTAGTAGCATTCTCGAGCCACTTGGTATAATGGGCGTTAAAGTCACCAAACACTAATATGTGAGCAAACGGATGGAGAGAGAGGGCCTTGTCTATGCTGTCAGATATGTTATCGAGTATCCCATAGTCTTGAGAGGATGGAGAGCGATAGAGGAAGAAGAGATAGCTTACGGCATTGAGGAGAGATAGTCGGAGACACATGTACGAATGGTCTGGCGATTCGATAGACAACTCTCTGGCCAGAGGGAGATGGTCCTTGACGAAGACACCAAGGCTGTGCATGTGGGTTAGAGTCTTTCCCGAGGAGAGGAAGGTAGCCGAGGATCAAGAGCTCAGAGGAGGGAATAGACGAGACAAGGTTGGTCTTGCACAGAGCCAGTATATCCGGGCAGTTTGCAGGGAGGAAAGATTCCATACTGCAGAAATATATAATCTCAACAAGTATATGTATTAAACAATAATTTTACAAGTGACAAAGACATTAACATTTGTGTTTGTGTGTGAATGTAAAGAGTTTGTTTTTGGTGAATGTTCCTACGTGTGTGTGTGTTTCATGGCGTTTTCCCACAAGTGAGCGAAAACGCGGGTCTCTACGAGAGATCACATTTTTAAATGTGTCCGCTGAAATGCAAAGTGAAAAAGAGAACGAGGCAAGAAGTCGCCTAGTGTTTATAATATAGGGAGAGCATCCCCAAGTGAACAATTAGCGAATTAAGGAGGAGGTAACTCCGACAATGTAATTTATCTGTGAAAATATTGAATTTGAAGCGCAAATAAGTCCCACTCAAATTCTTTTGGTCTAGGAACTCATGATATTGAAACTTCTGTGTTAAATGCCACATTCACCGTATATTCACTTAAAACAAACTCTTTCTTTTCATCTTCTCTTTTTTTCTTACTTTTCATGTTATGGAATTAAATTGTTTGTCTTAAATCGAATCCACGTGTTCGTCTATTTTTCATCGATTATCATGTTTTCGTGTGACTCATTCCTAATCTGTAGACATACTTTCCTTATATGAATTCAGGGAATAATACCCTGAGTCAAATCATCTCATATTCTGGCTTAAAATATAAATGTAATTTATGTCTGAGACCTTGGCCGTGACATACACTCACACACAGGTATAGATATATAATATCATTATCACAAGAATACTGATGTATATATTTTATCACTAGCAATGGGTTAAATAGCCGAGTAAACGGGGTTCTCTAACTTTGGTTGTCAACTAGTCTAGGAGAAGGATGACATTGAATTCAAATCTGGTTGGGCGTAGGACTGGCAAATCTATCTCTATTTGCTCTAGAAACCACAGCAATAACACCTAACATGGTTAGGTCTTATTGCTATTTAACGGACTTTAACACCACTAAGAAGAAGTAACGATGCATTTACTTATTGCATTTGGACATGATTACATATTAAATATTCGAACTGAAACCTAAATTAACTATTTTACAATCGCAATAAATTCTTTTTAGTCTTTTATTTTTGAAGATGGCAACTTATAACCGACATTTCTGTTCATGAGACGTTCCATTCAGACTGAATTTTTCCCTTGACTCTTTTTCTTGTCATAAGCAACAACGAAATGTTGAGTCACTTGCAAATCCTGTTTCGTCCCGACGGAATTAATAAATATTGCCTTCACTTTATGACTGTTAAAATGAGAAAATATTTTCTCATAAATTCCATTATCGCTGAGCACTAGTTATTAAACCTATAATCACTAATCAAGAAGTTATCGTGTGAACTTGATATTTTTATCTCC